ACACATGTTCATGGTGCATCTGGATATTCTTTTTTTTTTAATTTTGCAGGTGCCCTTTTCAATATTAAGTTTTTATTTACTGGCTTCAGCTTGCAAATGGTTTTACCAGTGTCTCAGTCTATGTTATTCTCACTTGAAAATCATGCAGTAGGTTTGACTCTGCTTTACTCAGAATCTTTAAACTTCCAGATTTCTGGAAGGTGAGTGTTTTCAAAGGTTCACAACCTTCACTGAACAAAGTTTACCATATACTAATTAATTCCCTGGAAATTGATTTTAGTAGTCATTGTAGTGCCACCTTATTTGCCAAACATATTTTTTTTCTTTTTTTTGTTATATTGTAGTGCAGAATTCCAGTGCAGGACTCCAAGATAGCCACATATTGAGAGCACAGAGTCAACATCTAACTCCCTGGCAGGTAAAAATTCATTTAAAGTCATCTTCCCAGGCAAAAATTTGAGGACACTGGACACTGCTCCTGTGCCAGGGCTTGCATTTATTACTCTGTGTATCCTGCTGTGTAGCCTAAACAGGAATATAAATACAACAGGATGAACTAGCTGCAGAATGTATCAAATTCAGTACAAGGCAGCAAAGAACCACACCTTGAAACAACACACTTTGTTTGAGTACTTGGCATTAAAGAGAAAGGAAAGAGGAACTTGCTACAGCAAATCATAAGCCATAGACTGCTACCTTGCAGGCAGAAACCATATGCTGGAATGCATGCAGGAAAGAGAAGGCATGTGAATGCACAAATTTTGCTCGCAGCTTTTCTGTGAGCCCCAGCAACCTGAGTTAGCATCTTTTACCATCAGTATGCTTATACAGTGAAAATGTTGATAAGCTGCAAAAGCAGCAAAAAATTGTGAGCAGAGGTCCCAGGGAGGGACACTGTTGCCAGACAGACCAAACACACTGTCACGGACAGAAGCTGTGAAACACAGAGATGCAGGGAATAATGAGAAGCTGCTCTTTATTGAAGAGCTATTGTGTTTGCTAGTTTGGGTGGTTTTTTGGCTCCTCCTCACCACCTCACCAGTTAATTAACCTCACCAGGGTTAATTTGGATAAATTTCAACTGAAAATGAATGATAGGTAGAAAACTGTGAAAGGTGAAAATAAAGCCTGAAGTATTTCATTAAAAATACAACCAATGGGTAAATCTTTCCCCATTAGGTATGGGCACAGATTAAATTGAAAGGCAGAAGACATGAGAGTTAAGGAACTTACAAGTCTTTCTTCTCTTTAAACACATACAATGTGCTGCATATTCTCACAGCCATGTGACAGAGCTGGGTCTATCAAGTCCTTATTGCTTCCATAATAAGCTCAGACTTCAAGGGGATGTCCATAAATCTGGCAGTAAATAAGCCGATGATTCATACTGTTCCTACAGCAAGACAGAAGGATCAAAGTCTTTCTCCTTCATCACTTGCTCAGTCCTTGAGTTCCTGGCCATGAGCGTTTTTCATTATTTCATCACACACCAAGGATTGCAGTGTCTTACAGAGCAAAGTAAACTAGATTTAATTTGAGATTTGGGCTGTGCTTATACTACACTCCTTTTTTAAAATTATTTTTACACCAAGATGGTTTTGTAAATAGCCTATTGTGCTGTAAAATGAAAGCCAAGTTCTCTGCCATGTACCTACCGCCAACTGTCTGCTGAGATTGCTGAATTATATTATAGAGTAAGACTTTAAAAGGCTATTGCTAAGTCACTGAGTCACCAATCTTACCAGACAGTATATTGGAAGCTTTTGGTCTAGCAAAATAGAAAAGGCTTTGACATAGTTTCAAGCAATGCTATCAGCACCAGTGAGTAGACAGACATCAGGAAGGATGGATCATGGAGAAATTCAGACAAAAATCAGAAAGTATTTACTGCAACCAGATCAGTTACACTTCAGGGTTTCAGTTCCACTGAAAGGCAACTTCCTCGCTACTATGCTGGGTCATTCCTGCAGGATGGATTCAGAGAAGGATGACAACCATTATACAGTCCTTTCAGCTGTACAAAGTGGTCAGCCTTCAGATACAGACATGAGTTCTCAGTTCGGTTTTGCTTAGTTTGAAAGATTTCTTTCGTCAACAAAAATATTCCAATTTTGAAGTACTTTACATGAACAGATTCCTATGACAAACCGGGAGTCCTACTGATATGACTCTGTTCTGGATTTCACTGGAAGCTTGCATTTGTATAGGAGTTCGCTTGTGTAGGACTGTTGGTTTGGGGGTTTGGGGTTTTTTTACTTCTACATAATAAATACCAGAGGGATAGGTAATATTTTTTCATGTGCATGCAATCTCCTCTTTTTCTAGTTAATAAATTTTTTTAGCTCTTACCAAGTATCTATTCACCCTATAATATGTGATAATCTTGAAGAACAAACAAGTGTATTTTTTTGTTAGAGTAGGGTTATTTTGTTTTACCTGGTGTATGCTTCTTTGAGTAGACAGACAAGAGGAAAGAGCAAGCCATTTGGCACCCCATAAAGCAACTGTCCCAATTATTGTCTTGATTTCTTTACTCACGTGTTTGCATTTAAATGTTTTAAATACGTGAATTCTTAATACAAAAATGAAAGACCTGAAAATTAAACATTCCAGGATGGCTTCCTCTGCACAAGTTTCAGCAAGTTAACTAGAACTTAATTTATAGAAATGCTGACTACCTGCTATGACCAGTGGCTGAGATTAACTGTTCAGCATCTCTGCAAATTAAACTCTCAGTCTTGATCCTAATGAAATTTCTTACCAATGCTAGCTTAAATGCATATACATGAAAGACAAGGTCCTTCTGTTTACCCATAACATTCACAGAAAGAACATACAAATACTACTGTAGGGTTGAAACTCAAAAATCTTTTACAGTTTTTATAGTGTCCTGTAAAAGAAAGGGGCACAGGTACATATGTATGTTAATTAGTCTAACATGATTGCCTCCACACCTCTTGAGCACTTGCCACAGAAGACCTGTTAAAATACTATGTGAGTTTTACACAGACATAAAGCTTCTGCTGAAGGACTGCAAATTCCAGCTATCTGCTAAAAGTCTGTTTGTCACAGGAACATCCCAAAAGGGAACATCAAAGAGCTATTGCCACAATTTCATGTCTTTGTTGTAACAGTAATCATCCTGGTCCAAGGACACAAACAAGGCAAAGTTTACAAACAGGAATAATTTATTTAGGCAGAGCTTTTAGGCCCTTGAGCTCTTATCCAAATATAATTAAACAAAAAGAAGTCTTTGCCTACAAGATTCATCTTGCAACAGGTTTTATTGCGTTGATGAAGTGTCAAGTATATAACATATTGTCTCCTAATAATAAAATAATTTAAAAAAATTAAAAAACCCTTAAATTTACAGATATTTTTGTAACTCAGTCTTGAGGGAAATCACTGAAACTGCTAGTAAAACTAACTTTGTTCATATATGAAGCAAAAATCACACTCCTTTTTTTGTAGAAAAGCTAGTTAAAAGTTATGAGTTGCTCAGCTGAGGGGTGTAATGAAAAATATCTCTATTTTCCCACACTTTTTGTTTTCACAGACAAAGCACTTAGTTGTAAAAATACAGAGATGGCAAAACTAAGTGCTCAAAAATTGTGAAGTGGTGTTTAAAGGCGCTGTATGACCTTGCTGGAATATCACTTTGTTTATCCTGCCACCCATGATTGGGTTATATGTTTACATGCCAATTTTTCCCGCAGAGGCTCTGTCCTGCTCTGTGCCGAAGCAAAAGGGTTGGGTTTTTTAAACCTGCTGTCAGTGACCCCCACGTTCTGTTCTCTCTGTTTCTTCCTATATTTCCAGCTTGCTTTTTCCTCTTGATTTAGGGAAAGTTCATACTTCCTCCCACATCCTTGCCATTCTACCTGTCTACATCTATACACTATTGACTGCACACTCACACATTTCCCAGTTTTTATCCTTTCCTTCAACACTTTCCCCCTCCAAGTTTATATCCCCCATTCAGTCCCTCTAGTTTCTGTTTTATTTGTTTTGTTGGTTTTTTTTTGGCAAAAAACCCCCAGCCCTCCCACTTTCTACCTATGTGCCTTTAGATAGGCAGATTTTTTTTTACATTTATCAAGCTGAGGAGGATACCTGCAGACATTTCAGCAGTATGTAATAGTCCGAGACATGGTTAGATATGACCAAAATATCAATCAAAAAATATTAAGTGTAGCTGTAGAAAGCCAGAAAAGGGGAAAGTAATCTGGAACATAGTTCCTTTTACTAGGCCTAAGTATACCTTATTAGTTGTATGTTAAATGAAATAAGTTTTTTAGCCTCAGTAGGCCAGCAAGATCTCAAAGGACACCTAAATATAGGAAAAGGTTATAATAAAAATATTATTAACAGCAATGAACTCTTCACCTTTGATAAATGAACTCAGTGCTGGGCAGCAAAGTTGGACTAAAGCCAAATTCAATTTCAGCACCCTTTCTCCAGGCAGAGTGGATATATTTCTTTTACTGCATATCCATGGCAAGGATTAGGTGCTCCAAGGCAGTTTTCGGCCAGCACCGATCTCCCGTTTGCCCGGCACTTCCCACCTGCAATGAGGTTGCGGCTTTTTGCCATATAATATCTAAATATCTAAAGACGGGTTATTTCCGCCTAAAAGGCAGGCCGCCACCCTTAGCGGGTTCCAGGGGTCCGGGATGACCCTCCTGCAGGCGGGCAGCAGCGTCGGGGGGCTCCCAGCCCCGTGGGGCCACCCCTCGCCTTCCCCAGGGAGCAGTCACAGCTCGCTTTTAGGGCTGTAAGTGAAAAACAGGAGATGGGCTTAACGCGTAAAATTCTAAAAGCTGGTCAAGTTATAAACGCGGAAAAAAAACCCCCAACCCCGAAAGACGAGCCGCCCGCAGCCGGGCCGGGCGGGACGCGGCACACCTGCCTGCTCCCCTGCCCGGGGCCTGGGAGGCGCTCAGGGTTAAGCCCATCTGGGGGCGGGGGCAGCCCTGCCGGGCTCCGCCGCGCCGCGTCCAATGGGGCCGGCGGGCTTGAGCGGCCGTCCCTGCGAGCGGAGCGATGTGCCCGGTCCGCCGGCGCGGAGGCACGCCCCAACACCTGCCCACCACGCTCCGGGGTGCGCAGCGCGTGGCCGAGCTGCAGGCAGCGGGCGAGGCAGCCCGGACAGCGCTGCCCGCAGCCCTCTCGATGCCTTTCCTGCTGCGGTTCCTCGCGCGCCAAGACTTCCACATGACCTGGCCTGGAGGGTAAAGAGCAGCGGCGGCCGCCCGCGGAGCGGAGGCGGAGGGGGCGGCGCATCTCCCGGTGCTGGGGAGCCCCCGCGGTGGCTGTCACCGGCCTGGCCCGGCCCGGGGACGTGGGGAGCAGCCGGACGGGGGCTGTCGCTGGGTGTTGGGTGGGCGAGTGAGCTCTGCCCTTCTGGGGTCGGCCGAGGCCAGCCGAGGAGTTTCAGGGTGTAACTTAATTGCTTGTCACGCGTGTCTTCAGCGTGGCACCGAGTGAATGTGCTGTCTCACATTCAGCGTGGCTGGTTCTGTGCGGTGTCGATGAGGTAACATGAAAGTTGTGTTAAGTGTGGTACAGTCACTCCCGTATGCAGTAAGTGCGGTAAGGTTACAGCTCTGGTTAGGAAACAGTATCCTTGAAAGGACATCCTCGTCACGATTGTCGGGCTCAGGTTACTGGTTACTAGCAGCGATACACTTAGTCTGAAAAAAACTACGTGTAAAAACTTCTTTACTCTTGAAGTTTAGTCATTTACACCACTCCTTGCATGTTTTGGTAAATCATAGTACTTTCCTGGCTCTTTGTATGGCTTTTTGCTGCAGTGCATGCATATCTTTAATGTCCAAAGGTACAGATTGTTACCTTTTTTTTTTTTTTTTTTTTAAAGAAAGACTGCCAACCACTAAACCTTTGGAGCAGAAAGTATTTCCAAATCTTCCCAGGGCAAAAGCTGATTCACAGTGTGCCAACTAGAAGCTGTGTTTCCATGGAATTTGATGTTGATTACATAGCGTTGCCCAAGAGACTTCACCTATTACTTTCTGACTTCTCTGTACTGTAGATTTTCCAAGTTTAGTCACCGTAAGAGAAGATTGTTTGCATACAGATGTATTGCAGGATTGAGGTATCTAAAAAAAAGAATGTGAAAAACTGAATTGGGCCCTTAATCATAAATAGCTTTAAAAATTAATTTTTGTTCTTTTCATTTGACTCATGAGATTTGTGTCATAGCTTTAAATTTCCTTCTCAGCAGAAAATCTAGGGAGTCAATTCAGATTCCTTTGGGTGTTTGTGGATCTTACTTTCGCTTGAAGTTCATGAGATTTTTTTTTATATCAAAGCTGTGCACTAACAACTGTAGGACCATGCTTTTTTTTTTTCTTTCCCAACAAAAGCCATTTTATGTTCCTATATTTCTTGGTTCCAAAAAGCAGGGCTTAATGAGGACAATATGCACCACTGAATATCCACTGCTAATTGCATTGCAATTGGTTGTTACTGGTAATCCTGTAGATAGGACAGTGAAATTCAGCATTTGGCCCATGCACTTCTGCACTTTGATGTGACTAATTGTGAGGTGCGTTGTAGGTAGGTCTAATATTTGAGAGTCTAGAATCTAAGCTAGATTTAGAGATGGAGTCTATGAAGTAGCAAATTTCCTATACTCCTCTTGAGAATCAATCCTCTAGACTGGGGACCTGCTTTGAAAAAACTAAGTCTTTTTAGAATCTCTTATTTTTTTCCTGGGTCTCCACAGGCTGCTAAGTTTCTGAATTTCAACCCTTTGTTTGAATTGAGAGATTCTGATGTCCAAACTAACCTGTGTTTAATGTTTCTGTCTAGAATTTCCGTTCTCCACATGCTGTAGCTATTGGTACTTTATGTTCCACATACTAGCTGACACTTTTTTTCTAGAATACTTCTCTTGCAGCATAGGAGGAATAAAAGAAGCATACCCCCCCCCACGCCCCCTTTGGCCAAAGGAATGTGTTTATTGCAATTGGGAGATCAAGGCCCTAGAGAATTATTGTGCAAAAATCTGTGGAGGTCACAAGGCATATTCATCTAAACCAAGTGAGATTTTCATGGTTTGATGTTGCCTCTTTGTTTGGAATTCAGGCTGATACAGTCCCTTTTTGCCCACTAGGCTCCTGTAAACCTACTGCATAGGACTTGTAGAGCAGCTAAGGGATAATCAAAGTTCATGGCCCTGTTAATGCTTTTAAGCAACGGTTGTCCAGTGTCTTGGTACAGACTTATAATTAGCCTTAAATATGAATCAAGAGTCTGTCAACTGACCAGAGTGTTTATTGATGGTTAATAATTGACACAGATTTATCTGATGTCTGTTATCAACATTTGGAAGTGCTTCAGAAAAGAATAATCAGGTAATTATGGCAAGATATTCCATTTATAAATCTTTTATGATGACTCACTGCAACAGCAATCTATTACATTTTTCCAGTGGCAATTCCAGACTTGCTTTTAACTACTGACATATTGATACCTATCATGCTAGAAGAAATAAATTCATACCTGAATATAAATTCATACCTGAGCTGAGTGTTAAGTTAGTTTGTGCAGATACATTTAACTCCCGTATAAACTTGTAAACTAAGAAGAAGGGTCACAGGTCTCTATTAATTGTGCTAAAGCAATGGGTTTATATATCCCTTTTTTAATGTACCAGCTAGATGTGTATGTTTGATTTTATTGTTATCATCAAAACCACTGTCACTTGGATTCATTAGTGACATGCAAAATCTGGAGAATTAGCATCTTCTTTCCACCATAAATGTTTTTGCCTAGTGCATTTCATTATGTCCTTGCACTACATTCCCCAACTCTTCTATAGGACTGATTCTTAATGACTTGAGGATACTGTCTTTTTCTACTTGAAATGCATTATACTCTGGGGAACAGAATGAAAAATCTCTTTATGAAAAATCTCTTCAGAATGAAAATCTCTTTATGCGGTAAAAATGCAACATTGAAACTCTATGCCCAGAGTCTTCATAACATACTTAGCTTTTATGGCACTGAAAACTCTCTAAATATTCAGGATCCTTTCAGGAGTTCTGGTTGATACAAAGCTATAGGGCAAGACTTAGGGTTTGCTCTGCATTTGACTTACAGAGGAATCAGGACTTCCTAGTGTGTTGTACTGCAAGTCAGTAACTTACAATAACTGTGCTGTCCAAGAAGGGTTGTTTTTCATAGTTCCAAGCATACTGCTGAGTCTCAGGCATTGTCTCTGAGGATCTGCACATCATTCAAACATAAATACTAAGTTTAAATCAGTTACTTGGCTGCCTTTCTTCCACCAATACCAAGGGATTCCTCAAAAAGGATGGAAGAGCCCTTATTAAGCTCTCTGGGCTGACTGTTGAGGAAGCACAAATCAGTCAGCCAGACTTCCCTTTGCACTAAGCCAAAGATCTCAACTTACGCATGCGCCAGTCTTTTCCCAGTGGCAAAGAGGTAATGCATGTGGAATTGAGAAAGTTCTGTGTCTCTATAAAATTGTTTTCAATTTTTTCTCTGTGTATATTATATGTTTAAATTCTGGGTGTATCTATATACACATGTATAAAAAGAAATATAAAATATATATGCACAAAGGTGTGGATGTGTATATATATATATATGTTTATATTCTGAAGTTTAAGCTGTGGTTTTTCCTCCAAAAAATGCCAATAGAAATCCTTTTTCTCATAAGCATTGTGTGCATTGGACAACTATTGACACAATAGAGGCTTAGTTCTGTCTAGCATCCTTGTTAACATAAATAGTTATTAATCAAGAAAAAAATAATTAATTTATATATACAGATACATTAGTTTCTCCAATAACTGCATTGTTTTCTGGTTCTTTTACTTCTAAGCAAAATACTAAGTTCACTTTTTTTTTTTGTAGCACATGAATTTTGGTTTAATTAGTAACTGTATAATCTCTGATGTTCAGAAATCTGGAACTATCCCCAACAGACATCAGGAAAAAATCCTCTTAATTAATGCTTAACTCCAGTCTGGAGTTTTTCATCCAGCTTTACCCATTTATCAAGTTATCTTACATCTATTTTCAGATGCTGAGCAGATGCTAAGTAGGTTATTCAGTTTGTAAACACATATAATTATACATTGTGATGTTTTCCTTGTGTTGTAATTACCTAAGCAATTTTTTATGCTAGGTAATGAATGTACTTGTTTTTCCTGACACTAGGTTTTTCTATTTATATCCAGACTGTTTATTATACAGAACATTTATGTTTTTCTTGATGTTTTTACTGAAAAAAAAAGTATTTTTAAAAGATTTTGCATTAATTTTTGTGTTTGAGTAGTATGAGACTAGAAAACCTGTAAGTACCCACTGCTGGCTTTTTAATTCTCTGTTTAAGGATTACTCATTTAAGTAACTGTGTGTGATCTGAGTATGTCCAGCTCCTAAAAAAAGGATTGTTTACGTAAATAAAAATTTACAGAACTTCTCCAAAACTTGTAGATGCTGTGGAAGATTATCTAATACTAACCTTTACTTCAGTTCTAAATCATTTCAGGTAATTAGATTAGGTTTTCAAAATCTGAGAACTCTTCAGCACTTCCTGATTTTTTGGCCAAGTGAAATATGTTTGAAGCTTAGCCATGTTATATGTCTGAAAGATGCACCACTTGCTCATGCCATGGAAAGTGTCAGATCAGAAGTATTCCAACTATATATTTACTCCTTAGTGGATGTGCCAGTAGGTAAATTATGTTTTCTCTATGATCTCGAGTGTGTCACAAGCTGTAAACACTACTCTCTTTCTTCAAAGGTCCAGAACTTAAATCCTTTTTGTTTCCAACTTGGAAAATGTAAATATTCCTGAAAATGAGAAACTAACTGTACTAACAAGATGAGATTATTTAGGGTATTAAACGAATGTATAATTTTTATTCTCATCTTAGTTTAGCAGGCAGCTCTTTGAAGAGGTATTTAAAATATGTAATTAAAGTGTGTAATTGTTATTTGGTTCATTAAGTTGTCATACCAAAGATTTTAGAAGAAAAGTGAGAAATGATAGATGTTTGCCTAGTTGTTTTGTATTGTTACTTTTGTATTTTGCTGCTTTTAAAGTGTCTATTTTGGAAAGGGCAAGGACAAGAACATATGTTGACAGTGTTGTCTGGTTGGCACAAAGTAGCTGGAATTGCTCAAACAGTGTCCTTTGTAGAGAGTCATGCACTAGTACTCTGAGATAATCAGAGTACCTCATCAGGCCTATTTTTGCAATTATAGTGAATTTCCCTTCCACAAATTAACTTACTTTCCCTGCTCCCCCCTTCCCTTGCCTTTTTCCTTTACTCGTTAGTTTTTAATTTGGCCTAGGCTAGAACTGATTTAACGTAGTCAAAAGGCTTCTAGTAAAATTCTCATAATGATTAAATATTTCTTTCTGTGATGTATGATTTAGGATGAGACTTTTAACCACTTTTTCATTGCCAAATCAAGGGAGATATTAGCATGGCGGATTAACTTTTTAATTTTTTTTTGTACCTAAATACATATTTATAGGTGCTATTTCCATAAAGGATATATCTAATTTCTGATCAGTATATAAGGTATTTGTAAGTGCTGAAAAACAATAATATTTTGGAAATAGTTTCCTCATGATAATTCATTTGAGAGACCTTCAAAATCATTCAAGACCTCAATCTGAGCAGAAGAAAAGGTATGTTTTATGTAAAATGATACAAGAAGCTTGAAAGTAGAGGAAAGGGTAAGAAATAAGACTAATTAGCTGACATGCTATGAGGTGTACAGGATGGTGAATCTCAGGTCTCCCTCTAAGAGCCTGTAGGTAACCATCGGCATAGCTGATGCTGTGATTTTCCAAGGGATGAAGTCAATTCTACTGAGGTTCCGTTTGACCATTCTTCCAGTGAAATGCTGAAGAAAATTATATCTGCATAGATACAAGAAATTTGTAATTTATTTATGGTTATGTTCTATTAGTTTTAGCTGACAGCTCTTTTAACTGTAATGTTTCTATTGCAAAATATGGAGTAATTGATAACAGAATAAAAATTAGTTGCTGTCAATACTGATTAACAGAAATGCAAGACTCTTGGTTGCTGCTCTCAGTGGCTACCTTTAAGATTTAAACCTACATTTCAGTTTGTTTTGAAATGAGCTGCTGAAAAATTCTGATTCTCTTAGCTCCTTTGAAACTCTTGGATTAAAACTCAAAGCTGTAGCTATAGAGGAAATTAATTCAAAATCTAGATTATTTGCTATCCTTCTGCCCTCCAAATTCAGTGCTAGAGAACTTAGCACGGGTGACAGAGTAGAGGCAAAATTTGGTTGATGAACTGAGAGGAAACTTTTCAGAAGACAGTCTTGCATAGCTTCCTACTTACATAAGCAAAATATCCTAAATAAATTTTAGTTGCAGGGCAGAGCAGTTCCTTTTCCCCCCCACCACTTAATTAATATTAAAGGAAAAACAGTAATTAGATTTGGAAATTAGAACTACTGCATCACCAACTTAGTTTTTCATGATCCATCTCTAAGATGACCTTTCACAGAGCTGCCTGTAATTCCTCTTCATAGATGTCACCTCACAAAGGAAAGCCTTTAATTACCTCTTCCTTGGGGTTAGGCCATTGCCTTTCAACACACAGCTCTTCCTGTGCCTTAGAAATACTAGTTATGATGCTGCCTTCCAGCCTTAGAAACTAGGGTGATAATGTCCCTGATAACAGACAGGATCTCTGTTTTAGCCAAACAGGTTCTCATTATTTCCACTCTGTGGGAGGGAAATTGTGTAATGTGTAATGGACCCATTACTTTGTTATATTCTGCCATTTCAGAGGGGTAGGAGGGACTTCAAAAATGTTTTTGGATATACTAATGATTATACTTGTTTCAAATAGTAAACTAGAATTATTGATGACTGTGTGTACAAAATAAGGGAGGATGGGGAGGAAGGGAGAGGGTAAATGCGTGAAGAAGAATGTTCCTCTGTAAAAGTTTTGAACATTTAAATTCAAAAAATGCTGGATGAATCTGATGCAGTGTCAAACTGAATAGCCCTAAAGGTAACCTGAGTGAGAAAACTGCAATTTAGGTGCATTTTACATAGAAACTACAGGCTTATTCTACATCCAGTTTTCTTTTCTGATGCAAAATGACAACTGCAGTCCATTAACAACCTGACAGGGTTCTAAATTCAACCACTTATTTGATCCAGGATAGCAACATTCTGTTTCTAGGATTGATTTGCTTAAATCGTACAATGAAATTATAGCCAATGTAAAGAGTTAAACCTGACTGTGACCACTAGAGGAAAACATTTTTAACTGTGCTCTTCATACAATAGCTGATGCTTACCTGAGATCCACCTTTATTTATTTCCAGTTATTGAAGAATTATCAGAAGTGGAGAATTGAATGCCCAGAAATAAGTGCAGATTTACAACCATCTTCTGTTCTTGGTCTTTTGCAAGCTGGCTATCATGGAGTCCTTAGATCAAGAGACCCACATGGAAGCAAAGTTCTAATATACAGAATAGGTGAGTGACAAAATTAGCTGGAACTGTTTCACACTCAGCTCTGGCACTGGTATTTTTTGTTTGTTTTGTGGGTTTTGTTTGTGTGCTTGCTTTGTGGGGTTTTTGTAGAGTTTTTTTGTGGTTTGGGTTTTTTCTTTTGGTTTGGTTTAGTTTTTTTTTATATTATCACAATTTCTGCAGCAAATCAAAAATATTTTATGGTTACAACAGTAGCTGTTGATAAAATCAGATAATATCACAATGTCTTAACTAGACAGGTAACATATTGATGTTCTCTGTTAGAAATACCATTACATTAATATAAAGGTGAGTTACTGAGCTGTAAGGGTTACATCATTTTACTTATAATACTGGTATGGCTAAAGTTGTACAATTCTTAAAGGAGAACTTAATTTCCTTCTTAGTGGAATTCTTGTCAATATCCAAAGAAGTCTTAAAGCTTAAAACTTGTAAGATTATGTGGTTATTTGGGTCTGAGTGTCTCAACAATTATTTGTGTTCAAGTAAATTTTCAAAGCCATGGGCTAAGACTGTGTTACTGGTGCAGATGCAGCACAGAGAGGCGAGAACAGAAAAAAAAAGGTGTATACTAGTCATGTATCAATGCTCTGTGTGGATGAGCAGTTCGCCAGCTTTTCAGTGTTTACTTGTAGCCAAAGAGCCTTATCTAACAACACTTAGAAAATGTTTGAAGCACTCCCAGAAGTTTTTTTAAAACAGACATAGTTATGAATATGATATAGTTATATGAACCAATTGGATATAATATAGTTATATGAATCAATTGGATTTGATGACCTGCACTCTCAGCTAGCATGACTGAGCTGTTCCTGTCAAAACTTTGCACTGGAGACTGGAGCCATAGGTGGAACATACTACATTAGGTGATATCTATAACCATTTACCATTAAGTGATATCATCTACAAAAAAAGCATAAAAGATCAGTGACAGAGCAGGCACACAAAGTAACTTATGTACTGCAAATCAGTTTACTTCAGGACGTTTAATATTGCCGGTTAGTCCCTGTTCCCAAGACACACACTGGAAGCAGTAGCAAGCAGAACTACAGGTATATGGGGTATTCTCATGGTAATGCAGAGTAATCTATATACTCTTCAGGACAATGGGATCCCAATTTATTTACTGCATACGATGTGTTTCGTGTAAGTCTCATCACATCTGAACTCATCGTAAAGGAGATTGAGACTCAGCGGAATGGAGTCAAGGCTATCTTTGATCTCCAAGGCTGGCGATTTGCTCATGCATTTCAAATCAGTCCAGCAGTGGCCAAGAAAATCGCTGCTGTTCTCACAGTAAGTACGACATACTGTTTTATGCAGCTTCATTGCTATAACTCCCAATATTTCCTTTGTTCTAAGCTATAGTAAATTTTCATTCTGTAGGCCTTCTCAGTCTGTGCAGCTTTAAAGAACTAAATCCTAAATTCATTAATAGGCATAGATTGTGCTTGATTTTACTTAAAGTGTGTTCTTCGATAGCAGTAAATGCCCTGTAACTTCTGATATCTTATAAGAACTCCACTGACCTGTTACAACACAAGAATTTCATGACTGTAAGAGCAGACAGTTTTAGAAGGGACATGCATCTCTTCCATTCTTTTGAGCATTAACTCAACATTCAAAGCTTTTATTTCTGAGACTCAGAGAATATAATAAATGGCATGCATTGAGAAGTTAAGAGCAAGGCATTACTAACTCGTTAACAGTATGAATGAGGCTATACAATCTTCCATCTGCTACCAACAGAATGTATGGTGTTTATGTTCTGCTTGCTTTTTGCCCCCAGCATGAGAATTATTTTGTGCAAATCATTGCTACCTCACCTCCTAGTTTTCATAAAACTTCTAGGGACTTTAATTTCTTCAAGGCTTATGCCCTTCTGCCAAATCCAGCTGAATTTTGCCTCTGGATTTGTGAGGAAAAAAAAGAATGAAAGAAAAAAGAGAGGGACAGAGAATTGGCTAGCAAGCTACAGTGTAGTTTTATAATCCCATTTTCCTTTAGAAGTTAGGTTGAAAGTCAGAAATAAGAAAACTGTTAGCCTGTAATGTGGAAATGAGCCTGGGAGATAATCTCTTGCTCTGATTTGGTAAGGTTCATATCTGAGGTTAAATCAAAGCTTAGTCATTGAACTAATATCATCAAAATTTCAACTGTTCTTCCTTTTTGATATCTACTGTAAAACTGTAGTGAAACCATGAGGTATTCAAAACTTTTCACATCTGGAATAAGAACTCTTGGTGTTATACAATCTTGAGCCAGATCTCATGAAAACAAGACTAGTTAGAGTGTTTCAGATGATTTCTAGGGTAGTAAAAAAATTGCTAGTAATTTTTTTTAACCTTGAAATAGAGCAGAAAGGAAGTAGAATAGGATTTTCAAGTACATCTAAATATTTCAATCCATTATCTCAAAGCAGGAAATTCTTTGAATGTGGTGTTGCCATCTTGACCTATTTCAGATTCATTACATGTCTTTCAAGCTTCTAAATGTTTATTACAGCTATTGAAAAAAATAATCAAAACTTGTGTGTTTCCAGTGTTCTTTTCTAAGATGAGAAAGAATTTTAACTCTTTCTTCTTTTTCTTTTTTTTTCCTGATTTCTTTCATCACGGGATTCATATATTTCATATATTTCACCCAGAGATTGTTCTAGAGTTATTCAATATCATAGATTCATAGAATCACAGAATATGCGGAGTTGGAAGTGACTCATCAGGATCATCGAGTCCAACTCCTGGCCCTGCACAGGACACCACAAGAATCACACTACAGGCCTGAGAACATTATCCAAGCATTTATTGAACTCAGACAGGCTTGGTGCTGTGACCACTTCCCTGGGGAGCCTGTTCCAGTGCCCAACCACCCTCTGGGTGAAAAACCTCTTCAATATCTAAACTAAACATCCCCTGACACAGCTTCATGCCATTTCTATGAGTACTGTCACTGCTCACCAGAGAGAAGAGATCTGTGCCTGTCCCTCTTCTTCCCCTCAAAAGGAAGTTGTACCTGTAATGTCTCCCCTTAGATCTCCTCCAGACTGAACAGGCCAAGCGACCTCAGCCCAGCTGCTTCTCATATGGCTTCTCTTCAAGGCCCTTCACCATCTTCATTGTCCTCCTTTGTATGCTCTCTAATAGCTTTATATTGTGGTGCCCAAAACTGCTCACGGGACTCGAGGTGAGGCTGCAGCAGTGCAGGTTAGAGCAGGACAATCACATCCTTTGTCCGGCTGGTGATGCTGTGCTTAATGCACCCCAGCAAATGCTTAATGCACCCCAGAATATTCTTATAAGTAAACAAGAAACCTTGGGATTTAACCCTATGTTTTAATTAAGAAATGTGTCTTGCAAATTACTATCCTGCATTAAGAAACAGAAGCTAGTAGAAAGGAAATATGTATTAAGGAATGGAAAGCATAGTAAGAATAATAAGTGACATTATCTTGAAAAGTCTATCACCCCAGTTAAAACAAAATTGTTTCGTGAAAAACATGATAGTAGACTTTAGGTATATGATAACACATAATAAGAGGAAGTAAATCTATAATGAGATAGTTTTTAGGTCTTTATCATACATTAAAATCTAAAAGGAGTGGCACTTAAGAAACGTGTTGGGTTTGAATTTTTTCATCTTTCGAACTACAGTGCCATAAATGTTTGTGAGAAATACGATTTTTATAAGTGGAAAATGTCTGGTTGCACAGGCAGTATCAGGTGAGATATGAATGGAAACTGTACTTTCCCCGTTGCACAATGCTGGTTTTGAGCACTGGCGTATTTTCTTTTAAATTTCAAATATCTGGGACTTTTAAATGAATCTTGAATGCAAGTAGAACTATTTCATATTATAAAGAGTTTATAACAGGTAATTTTTTTTTTAATTTTCATTACAACAGTAATTGTATCGTAAAGCTGATCTTCTGGCTTGACCAAATTCCGAGTAATTTCAAGGCTTGTCTCTAAATTATAAATATAATTTATTTAAATTCAAGTTAGTATCTTCAATAGTTTATATTTATATATATTTACATATTATCCTGCAGGCTGTGAGTTGCCAATAAAAGCACATACCTCGATATCTTTTTAGTAAATTAGCAGGAGAATCTCTGTTGTGAAGATTTGTACCTTAGAGGAAAGGCTGAGCACAAGGTTTGTGTGCAATATTTATGTGCAGTTTGGTGGCAGTTTTCTTTTTTGTTTTTCTGTTTGTTTGTTCTAATAATCAACCTCTCCTCTTACTGATTTTTTTTTTTCTTTCTAATGGGAGGAACAAGATATGATTTTTTTAAATGTTGTTGTAGCAGTGTAAATTAAGAACACTCCAAAATGGAGGAATTGGCAAGATCAGGAGGAATAGTTTAACCTATAGACTTGACAGGTCTTGTCCTTAGCAATAGAATCTTTACAATAATATTTTCTTTTTCTTATGCTGTTTTTCATGTATATTGACAGGATTCCTTTCCACTAAAAGTTCGAGGTATCCACTTGATTAATGAGCCTTTATTCTTCCACCCAGTCTTCGCTCTAATTAAGCCTTTTCTCACTGAAAAAATAAAGCAACGGGTGAGTGCACACAAATATTTCTTTCTGTCACAAAACCCTTATATGACAATCTGTAGCACTTCCCTTAGTATCTGTCACTCTTGAGCTTTGAAGAACATAAATCATATTTGTTTGTTAGTGCCATACTGGCCACCAGAATCTAATTGTAAAGTATTTGCAGTTATCAATAACATGAGAGTTGCAAGTGGTGCTGTTACCACCACTCTAAAGATAAAAACCACTGTGACACAGAGAGGTTTAATAATTTGCTTGAGGTTACAAAGCAATTATTCTGCAGAACTAGAAAGAAATAGGTCTTGGATCTCCCAGTACTCTGTCTGTAAATGACAGAGAAAAAATATCACTGAACAGTGATGTTATGCTCCAAGTTGTGCAGAATTAGTAGAAGACAACTATTTAGCTCTGAAAGACCCCCAGAGGCATTTATGCATCAAAAATAGGTCAGACTTAAGTTTGAAGTTTTTTTCCAAATATCTTCTTAGTTGTTTTGAATAGTTTTGCAGTTATAAATCTGCAAATTTATATTTGTATTTGGATGCAAAAGCATGCCAAGAATTCTGGTTTATTGTAGCATGGAAAGAATATTGGACTTTTCAGCTGGCGTAAAAGTGAAGTGTTGACAGCAGGACTAAGGTACAAAATAAGCACCCCTGTCTATTGTTACTCCCATTCTGAAGCCTCCTTTTCTCAGCACATGGGTCTTGTACGTTTACAATAGCCACTGCATTCCAGGACAGTAGACACAGATCTTTCTGGTCACTGTTAGCTGTAATTTGCCCCTTTTCCTAGCATGTGTGCTGCTATGAGAAAGAGGAAGCCTTGTGCAGTCCCTCACTCTCAAAAGATGATAGAAAGAGAGAGTATGCTTCAGCAACCTGAAGCCCTGGTCCTCCTTTTCTCACATTAACACCTGTGAAAAAAGCCCATGTCACCTGATCCAGTTTTGGGCTAGAACTTTAAAAGTGGAAAAGAGGGCAGATGGACACTAAAGGCCTAACCCAAAACAAACTTGGTATCCTAGTTCACTGAGTGGAACAGAAGCAGCTTGTTTGACTCTTAGCTTAGGATTACAGGTATGATCTGAAAAAAAAAAACAACCAAAACAACCCAACTCCACGGGCCAGTTCCCCATACCTTTACAGAAATAATTACTATTCACTCACTTATCTTACTTCCTGATGAGGAAGTGTTAGAGAAAAGAGAACCAACTTGCTTTTGAGTGTATATCCTTATTGTCTTTGCGTAATAATAATCGCAGAAAATTCTTGTCAAGTGTTAATAAAATGATTATAATGAGAAGAAACAAAAATGAGAAGAAACAAAACTACAATGTTATGAGGGTGAAAGTTGTGGAGTAGCCCAGGATCTAATTTCAGTTGGTACTGAAACATAAGGACTAAGATACAAATTCTTTTGAATATCTTTCTTGACACATGCCTGAACCTACATACTACATAATGTTGTTTTTAAACACATGTGGCAGGACCAGATAGTGTTGGCTAGGAGCCAGACACTATCCTTTTCTTGGAAATGACTGAAAGGCAAGCACGTGACTAAACCAATTTCCAGTCCTCCCACGGTTCAGCCTTTGGGATGTCGTGTGTACGTTTGTCAGTGTTGCTAAACCAGTCTGGAAAAAGTGTGTAGTTAGTTTTGGCTCCTGTGCTCACAGCTACATAAAACGCAGTTCTTAGGTTGTAGTTTATCCTTCAGCAATCTTCAGATACTGAGCAAAGTTTGAGCACCCATGGGAAACTCACAAAGTATTTCCTTAATTTTTTAGGGAGCTCATTATGAACAAGTACACTTGTTAAGTCAAACCAAGCTGGTGGCTTCAGCTCTTGAAGAGAATTTGTTTGCTGCCTGTTTTCACTCAGTACTCTAGCATTCATACCCAAGTAAAGGCTTTTCATATTTTGTTTTAGGTGTATATGCATGGAAATAACTACATGCAGAGTCTGACTGAACACTTCCCCATCAGCATTCTCCCACTGGAATATGGGGGGGAGGAAGTCTCCTTTGAAGAGCTGGCTAAAGAATGGACTGAGTTTATAATGGCATCTGCAGATTATCTTCGGAGCATTTCTCTGGTTGCACAGGAATAACCTTATTGCAGTATTATATCAATTCTTAAACAGTGAAAACGGAAATAAGTTTAATATGAAAACATTGATTTGAACTTGAAATTATTGCGAATGAAACCAGTGTATCTTTGCAGGGCACTGAATATTATATTGGCTGCACTTTATACTAACTGGAGTCTATCAGTATGTGTGTCTGAAGAGATTAATGAATTCTACATATTCGTAGTGCTATTTGTAATTGATTAACTTGTATGCCAGAAAGTTGAAGAATGAATTGGATATCAGACTGATACTGGTCCTGTTAAGTCTTTGGAGATAACTCATTTGAAATAATGCAGTCCAGAACCTTACACTTAGCTCTTGTATCTTGGCTTGTCAAGACAACAGGATATAAAAAAAAGAACGGAATGTGGCTAGGGTAGAGTAGTTTGTTGCAGAAGCATGACTACGGGGCTAATTTACAAGGAGAGAAGAGGCTGCTTTTTGGATTGATTCTCAGGGAAAAAGGCTATTTTGTTAGTTTGTGTCAAATTGAAAATTAGTTAGCAATAGTAAGACATTTGTGTTAATCTTTGTGCTGCTTGTGCAACTTCCCCTTTTGTGCTAATTAAAACAGTATCTTCCAGTTTTATAAAGGAAGCTGGGGAAAACACCATGTACCTATTCTTCAAATGACAGTATGAATCAGGAGGAGGAACTGGTAAGAGAGCCCAAACAGACTTGAAAATTCTTATTTTCTTTCTTCAAATTGATGTTGTGTATGGACAACTATAAGCAACTCAGATTACCACCTTTAATTTTTACTGTAGAGGACTACAAAGGGCAAGAGCTTTCAGCTTGTTTGCATTATCTGTTTGTTTCAGAAAGTGAAATAGGATTTTCTTTGCGGATCTGAAGTTTAGAAATACTTGCTACATAGTTTAAGGGTGCTTTGAGGTCACTGAACCTCAGCATAGAAGATACTGGATGTCTTTATTTTCAGAACAGTAATTGACAACTTGCCATTCTATTTACTGTTAGGTACTGAAAGAAATTATTTTTAATTTCTGCTAAGCCTTCTTTATTTCTGTAGGGGTAATGAAAAAAAATCTCTATATACTTACTGGAAACCTGTTTCTGTTTTGGTTTGGCTTTCTAAGTGGCATTATTGAGATATGAACACTGTATATGTAAAAGCTATCACTCATTACATAGCATCATCATCCTGCAATCCCCAGTATCTAATGATCTAAAGTATTATTTTACTTTTCACTCAGCTTTTTCTTAAAATCGCTGTTCGTACAACAACTGCTGGAGTCCATTTACCCAGTTTTTAACTTTGTTTTGTAATAAGCCAAGAAATCTTTGCATAAGCAGTATATACTTAAGCATTCCATATGAGTCTTCATATAAATGAATCTGTAACAAATGCTTTGTTTCTCAGGTAGCTATAAATGATAGCTTCAGTTATTTTGGAATCTTTAGGACATTGGGATGCTATATTTGTATATGCTTAAGGGGGAGAAATTATACTATCCTATTAAGTCAGAAATGTCTTATTTTACATTATGACTAATACTGCATTATTGTGAAAGTCATTGGAAGCTATTCTTTATTAGCTAGAGGAATACCTATGAAAGACATTAGAGCACTTGTTGGTTGTAGTTTCTTCTGCTGTAGTAAGGTGCCAGAAATTCTTAAAAAACTGAAAAAGCTGCTTATGGTTTTTTTTTTCTTCCAATTCCCTGATTTTCTCAAGTGTGTTTTTCATTCTCCTCTTTCATGGTATATTTGACATGGAGCCTAAATTTAAATAAATCTTTTTCAGATACTTTTTCATAGGATCATATATTTTATATATCTTTTTTTTTTTTTCTCAGATTGAACTATTTTGTGATAAAAAATCTCCTTAAATAGAGGAGTTTGGTCAACTGCTAATTCTTCTTTATAGGAAAATAAACTGAGCAGTCAGGCATCTGGCAATTGTTCAAGTGTGTATCTGAAGTTCCAAATCATTTACCAACTGGAGAACTGAAGCTATTGTCCTAATTCTGCAGTCCTTGAATTTTAATCCTTGAGTGTAAACTGCACAAAGGAATGAGCTGTGTTTCAGTGAACAGGAAAATTTAAACTTTTCCCACGAAACCAATCTCCAATTGTTGCTGGTTTTTGTAGCAGAGACCTCATTTGATTGCATATGTATATGCCCATGCATATGTAGCTGTTTTTTAGGTTTTTGTAATCTTTATTTGGACTACACCAGCTCTGAGGACATAAAGTCCTAAATATCTTCAAAAATATCCTGAATCTGTTATTAAGTGGTAGCATGTTTGCATAACACAACATGCATGTTTGCATAACAACACATAACAACAGTTAGAGCGCTGAGTGCAGTTACTTTTTCATAAACTTAATTATTTTTTAATGTTTACATGTTATATAGAAGGTGGGAACTCTAATTGTACTTGCTGCTAATAGTAATGACACAAGATAATTGTAACATTTGCATAATTAATGGAGGAGGTATTAGTATGATAGGTGGTGATGTGGCAGCTTTGAGCATCAGTCAAAAAACAAAGATCCCTAAGTGCATTATTCTTCAAATACATCAGAAGTGCCTCTAAAAAAAGAAAGTTCCAGTTAAACAATGCAAACGTAATTTACTACTGACTGTAAGCACAATGCTATGTACAATGTTTTTTAATAATTTTTTTACATATCGACGCCATTTTAATTAATAAACAAATTCTGGCCGAACTCTCCTCGTCTGTCACTGTTTGGCGGTACAAGGGTCCCTTTCCCGGGACGCAGACAAGGAAAAGGCCGCGGGCAGGACCGAGGGCATCCCTTGGCGCCGCACACGCCTGCGGGGCGGGGCGGGGCGGCTCTCCGGGACTGCATTTCCCAGGGAGCCGCGGCGCGGGCGGTGCGCGGCGCGGGGCCGGGCCGGGAGCGCAGCCCGGAGCCGTTCGGTCCGGTTGGCCGTGGGCGACGTGGCCATGGGGCGCTTCGCAGGGCTCCGTCTGGGTCCGGCTGCCACCCTCCTCCTCCTGCTGGCCGTGCTGCGCCGCGCCCCCGCCTTCGTGCTGCGGGAGCGCTCGGCGGAGCGCAACGACAAACCCATCATCGGTAAGGGGCGGCCGCTCCCCCGCATCCCCGGCCGCGCCGGGCTGCCTCGCTGCCGCCTCGGGGGTGCCGCGGGAGGGAAGGAACCGCTGCCGGTTTCTGGGTGGAGTGAAATGTCTCCCCGAGCGTAGGTTTGGTTGGAGCTGTTGCAAGTAGCGTTAACGCTATACATGCTTTCTCTAGAAAAAATCTTAAAACAACGATAGGCTGTTTATGGAGTTATGGTGCTAGGCAGGGAAGCCGAGTCTTCGTCAGGTTGTCTGTGTTTGTGCGGTACCTTGTGACGGGGCACCGTAGTTGATGCCTCGTTGTCTCCGTGCCTGTAATTCCTCCGGGCAGTAAATATATCGCTGCAACCTGTCATATAGGAAATGGGAGTTTAATTAATTAATTAATAAGACCACAAGCCTTATGAGGAGCGACTGAGAGAGCTGGGGCTGTTTAGCTCGGAGAAGAGGAGGCTCGGAGGTGACCTTATCACTCTCTACAATTGCCTAAAATGAGGTTGTAGCCAGATGGGGATCGGTCTCTTCTCTCAGGCAGCTAGAGACAGGACAGGAGGGCACAGTCTTCAGCTGCACGGGAGGGGTTCGGCTGGACATTAGGAAGAATTTCTCCGCAGAAAGGGTGATTAGTCATTGGAGTGGAACTGCCCAGGGACGTGGTGGAGTCACTGTCCCTGGAAGTGTTTGAAGAAAAACTGGGCATGGCACTTAGTGCCATGGTCTAGTTGACAGTGTGGAGTTTGATCAAAGGTTGAACTTGATGATCTCCGAGGTCTTTTCCAACCTAACTGATTCACTGGTTCTGTGATTCTTCTTTCAGTGTGTAATGTTTGAAATATGTATAGTGCTAATTTTTTTTTGACCTTTCAGGGATATTGGCACAGGAATGCCACTTTGGTGAGTTCCAGGGCTTTGGAAGATCTTATATTGCAGCTTCATATGTGAAATTTGTGGAATCTGCTGGTGCCCGAGCTGTGCCAATAAGGTATATTTTTTAATATCCTTAGGAGTAGATAATAATTGTATTATATAAGGGTGCCACTTAAGAAACATAGGAGGCAGTTGTGCTGCTTTTCTGCGTGTTTTTTGCTCCTCAAAGACTATTTGGAGTTTTCAGGGAGTCTTTAGAAATCAGAATAAAAGCAGAGTGGACGTGTACATTTTAATATTTCTTATGTTAATAGTCTCTTTTTGGAAAGTACTAATTTTTTTTACCTGTAAAATTGCCCTTTGTAGTTTGCATCTGTGGTTTTTGAAGTTAGCTGTTTTAAGTCTACTGTTTAGTGCCTACAAACATACATAGACATCTAGATACATAGATACTACTATCTTTTGTCACATTCTATAGCCATAGAATTCAAGGAATCAAGGAAGGCTATCAGTGCTCCTTTAAGAAACCAAAGTCCTGTTCTGTTCAAACTATGGGTTACTAACTCCATGTGTTGTATTTTGGTTGTTGGGTAAAAAGTAGCAGACTAAGTAACATAACTGACTGTACTTCATAACCAGCAGCTAGCTATAAAATACTAAGTGCACTAAAATCAAATTATAAAATTATAATTATCAGAACTTAAAAACTATACTAATACATCTGCAGAAAATCTACACAGTCCAATAAGAGCACCAGTTAAGTGCCTGAATTAGAAGCCAACATTCCTCACGTAGCTAGTGGGACTTTCAGAATGTTTGTTGACCAGAAGCTTCATCCATAAATGGATGCTTCTAATTCTGGCAATTGAGTTAGATGCAGCAAAGCTGGACACTTTACTTGTACCCAGCGTATCAGTTCTTCAGAAATGTAGCCATCTGTGCTATGTGGTTTTGGCTGGAGTAATATTAATTCTCTTCAGAGTAGCTGATATGGGGCTATGTTTTGGAGCTGTGCTGAACACAGGGTTGATAATATAGAGATTGTTTTATTATCACTGAGCAGTGTTTACCCAGAACCAAGCCCTTTTCTGCTTTTCATACTGCCATGCTGGCAAGGAGGCTGGGGGTGCATGGGTGTGACCCAGGATTTGCAGCTCTGCCCTTCTTGGAGTCAGCTGGAAACCGGAGTTGCCAGTCTGCAGGAAATAATAACCATACCCTTCCTGTAAAGGGTAAATTTTTTGAGCGTCTGCAAAAGGGTCTCAGAGTACCTAATCCTGAACTGTACCTGACAGGGCCCTATTTTCAGTCTTATGGATTGAGCTGTTTCAAGTGAAATGATTAATTTGAACTGGGTCTATTCTATTCTGTTTAAAGCATGCTTTCTACATATTTTCTATGTCTGACGCTTCTGTTCAATAACCATTATATTTTTGTGGTTAAATATGTGTATTTCATGTGTATTCTATAATGATTTTTTGGTGTTTCAGGTTAAATCTTACAGATGAAGAATATAGTAGAATATTCCACTCTATTAATGGGTGAGTTTTGAGCACTGATTTTCTGTTGAAACACATGATAGTTCTGTTTTTGAGCTCTGCTGTATTCCCAAGAACAGTCTTCCTACTCTATAAAGAGGTTGTGTTGGGCACTGCATATGTGAAAATATATTCTAAGAGAGAGAGTGCATTATTTCATCCAGTACTGATGTGCTTCCTTTCCTTCCTTGAGGAACACAACAGATAATCTGCAACAGTGCCAAGGCTCATCTTGGCATTCTCCTGTGCTAGTCTGCAGGCAGGCAGAAGCGGCATCATAGTTATTAACAATTTTGCGAGTGAAATATCCCACTTCCTCTCTGTTAATTTTTCTCTCCTCCTCATTTGAGCTGTCACCTTAATTTTGATGTTTAGTAGCACTTGCTTGATATTTCGTCTCTGTTCCTACCCTTTCCTTAACAGACTTTATTGTGGGCTTAGCAAAGTCAAAACCTTTTATGGTTTTTTAGCCTTGTGCTAAAAGTGCACTTTAGAAGACTAAAATCAGCTGATGCTGCACTCCACAGCCCTAGCATGTGATTGGGCTACTTGTAGTCATGAGGTGAGCATCTTAAACCGTGGATATTTTTGTTAAACTTATGCATATGCTTGAGTGTTAGTCAGCATGTGTAGAATTTTCAGAATTTTAGCCTTTGGCTGTCCTTAGAGAGCACTGTCCTCATGTACCACAGCATGCCCTGTGCACTAAACCCCTGGGTGTTTGCAGTCTTGTGATATATAACCAAGTATTAGACAGTGACACTTTGTCCCCTGTGGCTAATCATGTTGGAGACAAAATTAATAATTTCATCCCTTTCTCATGGCTACCAGCTTCTCTTTGGTTACCAAAAGGTCTTTTCACTAACGGAGTCTTCCATTCTTTCTACCTCACCACCTACCTCGATGCAGAAGAGGGTGTTAGGCAAGTAGATCCAGTTCCCATGTCCTTCTGTTTTTGCAGTGACTGTCAGTTGAGTTTGTGCTATGTAGGTGAGTAAGGATGTTCTATGTTTCCTCTTGTAACCCTCCACTAATGGCTTCCACAGTATAGCTGTGTGTATAAATAACAAATAAGATCTCTGGAGGGAATTACTTCTCTTTTTATGGAAACTTAGAATAAGAAGGAGATACAATGATCTTTCATGTTGCTTCTTTGCAGTTGGAAATTTCATATTATTAAATGCTACCTTCTTAAAATCACGAAATTTGCTATAGTAGAGACAAAATTTTATGAATATAGCAATGTACGCTTGAGGTAGCCTTTGAAATGCTCAGTGTACCTCATCAGCTCTAACCAGTTAGAGA